GTATTATTTAATTATTGTAGTAGAGATTTGGTATAGTAATATTTAGTTGGTTTTTGTTTTAAGAAATATGTAGAAGGTCAGATTTTGTCAGATTAATTTCAATATTATTTAAATTATAAAGTTTTTGAGTATCATTAAGAATACTTTGAAAAGATTCAGGACTTTCACTGTACCAAACAGTGTCATCCATAAAGGCCATAGAAGATATTGTTATAGAAGATAATAGAATGTTTGAAATAATATTAAGAGGTGAAGAGAAGATAATTTTGAGTAGATGGTTGTTGTATTTGTTGTAAATGAAAAAAAGAATAGAATAATAATAGATTTTTCAAAGTAAAGGTGAATAGGTTTCACCTTGTTCTATTCCTAATTTAATATGAACAAATGATGTAAGGTCATGTGCAATAATAATTCTTGCTTGTTAGTTTGTATGAAGTTTCATAATAAGTTAAATTCCTTATGAAGAAATACCAATTCTTTTACAAGTATCTTGAAGTCGAAATATATTGATTTTATCAAAAGTTTTGAACATGTTTTGAAACATTATTCATGCTTTTTTGTTAAAATGTTTATAATGTTTGATAGTATTATTAAAGATTTGAATTGGAATATGTGTTGATGAGTTTTTGATAGCTGCAAAGTTAAGATTAGAAAAAAGATTGTTTGTGTTAATAGTATTGTCAAGTCTTTGTGTAAAGAGTTTTGTAAAATATTTTTTCATAGGTTCTATAATTGAAATAGAGTGAACTTGATTAAGTATAAAGTCCTATGAAGATTTTTTTGGAATAAGGAAGATGTTAGATGTTTTCCAATCAGATGGAATTTTTGAAATTAAAAACATTTGTTAATAAATAGTTTGAAAGAGATTTGGCCAGGAAAGCTGACATATTTAATGTGTTCATAGTTGGTTTCAAGAGGTTTAGTAGCTTTTTGAAGAGGAAGATTTTAAATGATGTTTTGTTATTCATTATTTAAAATATCATTAAATAGGTTCTGATAGTGTGATTCAAATTTAGGATGGGGTTGGTAAAGTTCATAATATTTAGAATTGGGTTGAATTTGTTGAAGAGGTTTTTCATTAAAGTATTCAGAAAAGTGAGTGTAAATAGCTTGTTTAATTTGATCTTTTTCTGTCAATAAAATGTTATGATTTAATAATCTGTTAATATATATACTATTGTATTTTTTAAGAATATTTTTAAAGAATTTTTTTGGTTGTGACTAAAAGAGTTAATTTCAGTCTTCAATTTTTTGTTAAATTTCTTTTTAGGTTTGTTGTTAGTAATAAGTGTTAAGTGCTAATTTAATTTGAATAAATTCTTGTTTAATAGTAGATTAAAGATTATTAGATGTTTAAGATTAAATAATGAAATTATCAGAGTATTTAGTATTATATTCATGAAGAAGATTATAAGGATTGTAAATAATTTTTAAGATATTGTATTTGTTTGTATCTATAATAGAGTAAATGATGTTTGAATGGTTTATTTGGTTTGATTTTATGAATAGTTTTGATTTTTTTATAAGAAATGTTTTTAGTAGCAGCTTTGGAAAATGCTTTGAATATTTTATTCCAAACTAGATTAAGTTTATTTTGATTAGTAATATTTGATATTTTAGTTTGAAGTTGTGTGAGCCTTTGTGATGTTTGGTTTGAGTAATTTTTGAGGTTTTTCTTAAAACAGTTTTTTCAAAGAAAGTTTTTCCTTGTATGTTGTTTGGTAGGTTTTGTTTTGTTAATAGTTATAGATATATCAAGAGTAATAATTTTGTGATCTGATTTGGATGAGATATCTTCAAAAATGTCAGTATAATCAATTTGAGATATGTTTAGATTTGTCTATATTTGGTCAATTCTATTGTTTGAGATCAAGTGAGCAAAAGTAAAGTTGTGAGTTTAAGAAAAGAAAAGCTAGTATATATCTTTGAATTGATGATTAATTAGATATTTAAGGATTTGAGATTCTGAAATAAAAGTGTTTTTAAGAAGATTTCTGTCTAAGCATTGATTAGGAACACTATTAAAATTACCAAATATTATTAGTTGATAGTTGGAGTTGTTGCAAAGTTGGATAATTTGTTCTTGAATTTCAGAATGTAGTTATTTTTTTTCTGATGTTGAAAGATAACTTTGAAGAATACGAATAGAATTGTGTTTAAAGTATAAATCGAGATCAATTATATAGCTATTATAGTTGTGTATTCTAGCTATATATTTGAAAATTCTATTATGTATGAAAATATCAACACCTGCTTGGTAAGAATTTTCATAAGAACTCCAAAAGCTGTTATAGTTTTAGAGTTCTTTGTTAATAAATTTTTATTCTTTTAAAGTTAGATATGTTTCTGATAAACCAAAAATTTCAAAATTATGTTGGTTAATTATGTTAATTAGTGAAAGTTTTTTTGAATGTTGAAGTAAACCATTAATGTTTAAAGAACCAATTTTTATAGAGAATGAAATAATAGGTGAGAGAGTTGTTTGTAGAGAAGATATATTATTAGTAGTTATAAAATTTGAGTTATATGAATTGAGATTAAATGAATTTAAATTAGTATCATTATATATATTAAAGAAAATATTATCTGAAATAGTATGAGAAGTTGAGTATCTGAAATGTAATTTAATAGGAAGATTATTGTATAGATGGTAATGTGAACTTGGAAGAAATGTGTGATTAGGTAGGAGTTTATATTTTAGATTTTTATAGATATGTGTTTTAGTAAGTATATTATTAATAGAGATTATAAAAGATTTGTTAAAAGAGTTATTTTTTAAATATTGGATAAAAGATAGTAGTGTTTGTTTAGATAGTAGAGTTGAAAGATTATAATTGATAAAAAAAATATTATAGCAGAGAAGGTCCTTGGAGTTAGATGAAGAGTTAAAATCCAAGAAATAAGAAAATGTTTCTGCAAGGTTGTTTACCATTTTAAGCTCAGCTCGTACAGCTGCAAAAGATACTGTAGTCTTTCCAGTACATTGGGCCTGACTGTTATTAACTCAGTCTTCTGTATAAATAGGCTTTATTGCCTGCCTACTTACATCATTCATCTCTAAAAATGGCCTACTATTTGTAGAGTATATCATAATTTTAGAGGTGGCAGCTGTTTTAATATTACTTGCAAAAAGGTTTATTGAAAAAGAAGTTGGGAGATAATAGGTTTAAAGAGGTCAAGGTCATTAATTTTTTTTTGGAATAATATATTTAAATTTCTTAATAATAAGAGATTCAGCTTGAGAATAATAGTCTTCATTATATTTTTTTCAAATGAAAGGGATAGAGAGATTTGTGCTATTTTATTTAAGTATTTCAAAGTAGGTAATAATTCTAGCTAGAAAATGAATGTTTGTGATTTGGTTTGTAGCTTTTTTAATAACTTGGTCATAGTTTAAATTGATTATTTTATCATTTTGAGCTGCTGTTTGAAGAAAAGCTTTAAAGTATTTATAAAAGTAATAGGTTTGATAATTAATATTATAATCAGTTTTGTTGATTTTTATAAATTGTTTTTTAGCAGAATCAGCAAGTTCACGAAGAAATTTAATTGAAGTTAGAGTTTTAAATGAAGCTGGATGTTCATTATCTTTGTGAAAGATCGAAAAGTTTAAGATAGGATGAGTCTATGCTAGTTAATTAGATTTGGTAGATAGGCTTGATTTGTTAGAAACTGGAGCAAGAAATTTTTTAAAAGATTAATCAAAATAATAAGTAAAGGGATTTTAAAAATTATGTTCAGTATCAGATAGAAGAACTGTGCATTTATATTTATCAGAATTTTTGCAAATATGAACATGAAAAAGAGCAAGTTTTCTAATTAATAGAGTACACTCTTAAAGAGATGTAATAGATTCAATTATAAAGGATTGGAGTAGTAACTTTTTATGCTCTTCAGCATATTTAGTTGTTGTTTGATATTTGAGAAAGTTAAGAACTTTGGTTTTGATGATGTTTAAAAAATGATGTTTATAAATTTCAAAGAATTTATCAAACCAGTTTTTAAGAATTGCTTTATGTGATTTAAGAAAAAGTATTTGAAAGGTATTTTCAAATTTTTCAGTATTAATATTGAAAAAAATATTAACATTTAATTTTTCATCATTTTGTATTTGAAAGAGAGCTTTGTTAATTAAATTATAACTAATGTTATAATGTAAAGTAAGATAAAATGGTTAAAGATTTAGATCTTCTGCAAATTCTTTTGCATGAATAGTTTTATAAATAGAGTTAAGAAAGAGATATAGATATGCAAGATTAATAACAACTTAAAGTTGATTTTGAAATATATATAGTGAAATAGTATAATGAGATTGAAGAATTTTTTTATAATTAAGTTTTGTAAAGAATATAGTGAGAAATTTAGAGAATAAGTTTTAGAGTGTTAATTAAGATTTCTGTAGGAATTAGAATATGAGTATCAATTGATAAATTAGTTTTATAAACTAAGTCCACCAAGAATTTGGATTTTCACTCTACTATATTTTTTAATAAGTAATCGAAAGAGTATTAAAAAATAGATTTAATATTTGAGTTTTCAGAGAAAATAGTTTTACCAGATACAAATTGAATTAAGTTGAGTTTAAGAAATTCAAATAATTGTTGAGAAAATAGAGTATTAAGTTTTGAATTGAGTTTCATTTTTTTTGTAATTGGAAATAATTTAAACCAGTCAAAATCTTGAAAAGTATTATGTTTTTGTTGTTGAGATTTGGTATTCTTTTTAGAAAATTTAGATAAAATTTTTTTGAAGAGTTCCAATTTTTTAGTTTTATTAAATAAAATAAATTTGGATATATAAACTATTTTCTTTTGTTCTTGAATTAAAGATTTAGTTTGAGGAAGATAACGTAATTTGATATCAATAATTCTGTAAATACAACTATGATGAATGAGTCAAGTTCTAAAGAGAATTGCTATACTATAATTTGGTGAATATTTGTTTTCTTAAGAAAGAACATAAAGAAGATTTTTGATATTATATAAAACACATGTATAAACATGTTGAAAGTGAGAAATAATAGCAGTTGGTGTAGGATTGGTATTGAATGAAGGAAAAAGAATAAAGGAATTAGGAAGTTGAGTTGAAAGTTATTTAACAATTAGAGATGTAGGTAGAGTATCACTAATTTTTTCGAACCATTTAATAGAGATAATTGGAAAGGTTTGTATATTAAAAAGACCAAGAATAGTAGGTTGAGTAATTTTGTAGAAGCAAGAAGTAAAATTTGTATGAAATTGATTACATAAACATATGTCAATAGTCAGTTAAGTAGGAACTTTGAAGTAATGTAGTTTTTTCTTAAGACTTTCATATTGATTAGAGTTAATATCTGATAGAAGAACACAGAATGATTTGGAAGTTTTCTTATTTATACCAAGTTCATAACAGGCTCTGTATTTAGAGTAATAATAATCCATATCATAGAAGTCTGGTTCAGTTGTTATAAGAGTAGGCATTTTGAAATATTTTGTTAAATAAAAGGTTGTAGGTATATGATTATACAAGGATAGTAGGCAAATATAGGGGTCTAAATATAGGTATAGCTTAATATAGATTTGTGTAATTTTTATAATAAGGCATTACAAAATTTTAATTTATAATAAACTATAATAATGGGTGTGACTAAATATTAGTCATTAGTGTAGTGTAGTATTAATACAAAGTACAGTTTTTGTATAAAATTAATTAAATTCAAATATGAAAAAGAATAGATTGTATATTAAATAAGATTCTATTTAAGGATATATTAGTAAATTTAATGTAAATTTAATTAAATATAAGTTAAGAAATGATCTGATATTATACAGAAAACATGTAAGGATGAGCAGATCAAGGTAGAAACAAAAATTAAGAAAAGAATTTTTTCAAGAGACTAAAAATTAAATTTGACTGTAATTTAGTCAATATTTGGTTAAAAATCTTCATTTAGAGCTTGTTTTAATTAGAAAAATATACTCTACATTTTTACTTAAAAGTGTAGAATAGGTTGTGACAATAACTTTTATATAATAATTGAATTTGTGAATTCTGAAGGCCAAAGGCCATCAGTACATTTTTCTCTATGAATTTAAATTCTAAAAACTTGAAACTTTTAGAATATATGTAAAATTTAGTACTAAACAAGTTTACTTAAGAACCAAAAGCAAGTTAACTTAGTAAAATAAATAGTTATAAATGTTTTTATACAAATAACTTTTTAGTTAAGATTTGTGTCTCTTAATAGTATTTTAAATATAACTAATCTTAATATGTCTGCCAATTTTGTTTCTGATTTACATATTGAAATTCTTATACTTAATAGTTTTAAATTGCATAACTCTTCATATATATCTTCTTTTATTTTTATCCTATCTAATTTAGTTTTTATTAATTTTATTTCTACTATCTACAATACTTCTATCTCTTACTATATTGCTATTACTCTTTTTATCAAACTTCTTTTTTACTTAAACCAACAAATATATAAACAAATATGGATTCTATTTGTATTTCACATTCTGCATAGTCCTAGACTATACTCTTTATTAATTCAACTTATAGTCATTTTTTTAGTCTATCTTCATCTTCTATTTTAATACTACAAATTATTACTAAAATTGATCTTTGAACTATCCAATAGATTAAATACCATATCTTTTTCTCTTATATTATTACTCAAACCCAAATCTAGATGAGCTTTGACTACTTTTGTAGGTTTAAGTTGCAAATTATATATCTGAGTCTTTATTCTCTATATGTAATTTAAAAGCAAGTTTTTCTTTATAAAAACTTTAATTAAATTTCAATAAAATTAAAGGCATGACCTTACTGTTAATATTTAAAAAAAAAAAACCAATATTCTATTAGTTTACTTATAGAAGCACAATATCAAACTAGAAATATAGCTTTTTTAATTAGTACAATATATGGTCTTTAGAATACTATCTAGCACAAATAAAATTTACTCAAAAAAATTTTAAAAAGAGTATTTAATATCTGATTTCTAATAAGTATAATGTTAAAACAAGTTTATTTAAAAAACAAATATAATATAAGACTAAATATTAATTAAATAAATGTGTAAGATTTATAATTATATGAATAAAAAATAAAAATAAATGAAATATATATAGTGATAAATCAGCATCAGATGTAACTAGTTCTTTTTTAAAAATATTATTTTTTTTAAATATAATGTTTTTATTTTTATATATATTATAGTAAATAGTATTTTTAAATAAAGAAATTATAATTAAATTATAAGTTTTATTTTATTATAAACCTTTTTAGTATTATAATCATTCTAAAAAAAAGTTATCTGATCTATAAGTATTTGGATTTGATATTAGCAAATTACATAAATGTCAATTAAAAATAAATATATCTTAAGATTAAATATTAATAAATCAGCATGTTAATAAGAAAAAGCATCTATTATTAACAGTATATTCAATATTAGGTCAAAATAAAAGATTTGCAGCATTTGGAAAACTATTAAAAAATATGTTACATAATTTTATTAAAAATCATCGATTAACTGATAAAAATAATTAGCCAATAGTTTCTCTTTAAAATATTACATTAGATTATAATAATGAAGCTATTTTTTTAAATTATCAAATATCTAATAAAAAAATAATATAGTTAAATTAGATGCAATTATAAAGACTTGTAATAAATTATTACTTTCTCATAATAGATATCAATGTTTAGCTATAGTAGAGACTAAACTTACTTAAGAATATATATTAGCAAATTGTAAAATTGAAATTACTAACCTTATAAACAAAAAAATTAGAATTAGAATATTTAATATTGATAATATAAATAGTGATTTATTAGAATTAGATGAAGTAAATAAGCCTGTACCTAATATTATTATAAAGGATGCTGATATTGAAAATAGTGTATATTAATCTATTTATACTATATTATATACATTAATTTCTATATAGAAACAATTAAATATAATTAAACTAGGTAATACACTTAATCTTAAACTTGTTAGTAATGATCAAAATGTAGGGCATAAGCAAAGTCATGTAATAGTTACATTTTATCTATTAAATGATATTGAAAATACTTTAAAACCAGAAAATCAATATTGGTAACTATATAATTTGGGAACTAGTATTCATACTCCTACATTTGGCATTTGTACCTTTCTAGTAAAAAATTAAAAATTTGAAAGTTCAAGTAAAGATATCTTGATGACTATCTAATTAAATTCAATAAACTTTTTTTTATTTCAATTTTATAAATATATAGAATTCAAATAAAAAAAATTTTTATCAAAATTGATTAGATAGTTATCAAATTTGATGAATTTTTTTAATTTGAATTTTATGAATGCATAGAATTCAAATAAAAAAAAATTATCAAAATTGATCAGATAGTTGTCTAGATATTTTTATTCAAACTTTTTAAAAAATCAAAACATCTATTAAAATAAAAGCTGTGCCAAAATTTTATTAAAACTTTGAGCAAAGATATCTCAACAACCATTTAATCAAATTTGATAATTTTTTTTATTTGAATTTTATGGATTTATAGAATTCAAATAAAAAAAATTCATCAAAATCGATCAGATGGTTGTTGAGATATCTTTGCTTAAAATTTTAATAAAATTTTGGTACAGCTTTTATTTTGATAGATGTTTTGGTTTTTTAAAAAGTTTGAGTGAAACTATCTTGACAACTATCTAATCAATTTTTGATGAATTTTTTTTAATTGAATTCTATGCATTCATGGAATTCAAATAATAAAAGTTCATCAAATTTGATTAGTTGTTGAGATATTTTCATTCAAAGTTTTAATAAAATTTGATCAACTTTTATTTTGATAGATGTTTTGGTTTTTTAAAAATATTTGAATAAAGATATCTAGACAACTATCTGATCAATTTTGATAAATTTTTTTTTATTTGAATTCTATGAATCCATAGAATTTAAATAAAAAAAATTCATCAAATTTGATCAGGTAGTTATTGAGATATCTTCACACAAAGTTTTAAAAAAATTTAGTATAACTATTTTAATAGACATTTTGATTTTTCTTTGACTTTGAGTAAAGATATCTTAATAATTATCTAATCAATTTTGATAAATTTTTTTTATTTAAATTCTATATATTCATAGAATAGAAATAAAAAAGGTTTATTGAATTTAATTATGTAGTCATCAAGATATCATTATTTGAACTTTCAATTTTTTAATTTTTTATTAAGAGGTATGAATATCAAATATGAAGAGTACAAATACTAGTCCTTTATAATTTTATAATATATAAAAAATTTATTTATTAATTATTAATTAATTAATTTTATTTATAATTTAGTATTTGTCTTTATATTAGTCATGAAAAATACAATAATTTATTAAAAATTAGTAATTTATTTAAATTTCAACTTTCAGATTTACAAAATAATAGAATTTATGATCAAGACAATATTTATTGACCAATTGAGTTTTTTTTTATGAAGACTAGAAGTTTATATATTTGATTATGGGACTCAATGTGCCAAATTCCAAATATTTTTGTTTATATTACAATTGTGAAACTAGTTTATAATAAAATATAAATCAAAAATATAATAATACTGAAAATATGATATATATTATTTATTAATACAGTTGTTCCTTATTAATATTAACTCTGTTAATATCAACCTAAACTATAAATCAAATTTTTCTAAATTTTTATATATTAAAATTTCTTTATATAAATCAACTTTAATATAATCGTTTATTAATATTATTATCAATATAAATTTAAACTAATCTAAATAAGTTGAAATTAATAAGAGACAACTATAATAATAATAATATATATTCTTAATCTGTAGTTTTTTTTTTAACCACAGTAATAACAGAAGCTGCTCAACTATAGTATGATGACTATAACTTGACAGATTCTATACAAAAGTCTA